GATAAAAGTTGTCTAAGCTTGTATTCTTAAGATAGATATGTAGCCATATAAGGCAATATTTAATAATATCTAATAAAAATATAGGGCAAGACCTTACCTTAACACCAAAAAAAAAAAAAAAACTATATATAAACTTGAAATAAAAAATAACTATTCTAAATTATTCTTATGTGATGATCATAAAGAACTTTCACAATTGAATTAGTAGATTTTGATCTGCCACAATATATCTAAAAAAAAATAAGAAATAGAATATTAACAAAATAAAAAACTATATATAAACATGAAATAAAAACAACCACCGTAAAGTTCCAAATATAAGCAACCCCTGAAAATAAACAATACCTCACATTTAGAAATCAAAATACTAAAAAAATAAAATAAGCAACCCCTTTTTTTAAAAATTGCTAAATACATATAAAATTTATTATAATTTCAATTTAAATCTTTTAACAAAAAATCATTTAATCTTCTAATTCTTCTGCAGACAAACTATCTTCTTCAACTACCTCGACTGAATCTTCATTATTATCAATTTCACTATTCTTTTTATCTGAATTATATAATAAATCGTCTTCTGTCCTATCTAATTTATTAGAAATACCACATTTTTTAAATGATTTAATAATCATTTCTACAGAAATTTCATCTCATGCTTCTAAAATCTATTGACAAATTAAACTATAGAATAGTCTTTTTAAATTTCTGTTCTTAGTCAATTGAAATTCGCTATTACTCATCCACAAACACCATTTTTCCTTTAATCTGTCTTTAAATAGTTTATTAATGCTTATATTCAAAAGTTGTATAATTGATATTAAGCCCCCCAGAATAATAGCTTTATAAATATTATTAACAGCACATTTAAGTTTTACTATATTAGTAAGATGCCTTTCAAATAAATCTATCACAAGCAAAAACAAAGGTTTGTTTATAGTTGATGCTCCAGGTCATTTGTTATAAACTTTGTCAATCTATTCGCACATCAAATTTTCATCTATTCAGGCATTTTCATGTATACGTACAATAATCCCATAAGGAAGGTTAGGAGAAATTCGTATATCTTTAAAAATTACCATAGGGTGAAGTTTGTTACCACTGGCTGTAATTGCCAAAACACAAGTAAACCGGTTTCTTTCGTTTCCAGTTGATCTAATTTGAACCGTTTTAATGCCTTTCTTATTAATTGTATAAGAACTTGTTATATCAAAATATACTGGGGTTTCATCCATGTTTATGATTTGAGAAAGATCATACTGATGTCTTAATCAAGATTGAATTATAAATTTATGAAATTCCGTAATTTTTTCAATAAAATCTTCAGGTAACTTTTGACTAATTTTAGTATGACAACGAAAAAAAAGTTGGTATCGCTTTAAAACTGGTACAACCAAAATTTGGATACACAGAATTGTTGAGATACATCTGGATATATATCTGCACAGGTTGTTGATAAAATTGTGTTTATTTTCATTTTAATAGAATCTGCTATTACTGCAATTCCTGTTTGACGAAGTTCGTTGAACCATATAATAAACTTTTCTTCAGCAGCTGGATAAAATAAAGTTCTTCCAGCACCAATATATCAGTTACCAGACTTAATATTATTAAAATGTTTTTCATTATTTTTTCATTGTGATACTATAGACTGATCAATACCGAAGTGATGTGAAGCAGCCAAAACACCAATCTGCTTTGCTTTTTGAATAACGGCAAGTTTTTCTGATGCCTTATATGAAGTTTTTTGAACACGCCTTTTAACCTTAACTGCCTTGTTATTGCCAATAACAGTATTTATTTTATTTTTTTTTTAATTTTTGTTTGGTTTTGTTTTGTGCTTTTTTTTTTTGTTTGCTCTTAGTTTTTTTTTGTAATATGAAAAAGCTAAACAAACTACCAGTATTTAACGTGAACAAAAAAAAATCTTAATTTAGAAAAATAAAATATATGTAGTGCAACACTAATGCA